CAAAGTTACAGCAATTTAAGTCTCCAAAAGAATGACTGGAAATAAAGAAAGAGAAAGTCAGAAATATAAACCTTCTTGTGATACCATTTGAGGTAGGGATTGAACCCACACCTTACTCTGAGCACTGGTTGCTGAAGGTAAGGAACAACACGTGGAGCCTGCCTTTCAGCCAGAGCTGATCTGGGAAGCTCTCCCTGAGAGCCGAGTGACAGCGAACTATGTCAGTGGGATGGCTGAACTAAGCCCTTGTAAAATTCCTGCTCATGGCAAGGATTATCATCTGGGGTTAACTGCACGAGATACGTGGTGGATGGGGCCCCTGCCAAAGTAAGCCCACGTGGATGACTTTCTAGTCATGAGAAAAACACGACTGTGTGACAGAGGATTGGACTGGCATCATCCGAACCCAGAGGTCAATTTTAGCATCGGTGACAGCAGGTCAAAAAGATATGAAATGTCTTCTGGTGTGAGTTCATATAAAGAACACACTATCACTTAAATGTATTATAACCAAAAGATGTGGGTGTATCTATCAAACCTTTGGATATGCATTCCAGATCCAAGAAATACTGGAGATGGACAGCATGGTCAATGCAACCCCGTGGAAGCAGCCACACAGAGCTAGAGAGTACACATCCTGCAGGCCAACCTGCCTGACAATCCTGGTGTCACGGAGGATTAAAAGATTCTTAAGAACATGACAACCAGAAACCAGATACCAGGAATGCAAGAGCTTCAACTAGATCCTGGCAGGACACACTAGTAAAAGGACTCTGGGGACACTAGGGAAATCCCAAGGCCCTGGGTATTAAACCAGATGAAAACTTACCGACGTGGACAGCTGGAGACCATTAACTGAAAAATGTAGGTTATAAAATGCATGTACAGTGTGACCTCATTTGGGCAAAAAGCAAAACAAAAAATCATCTAGATATGTATGTGTCTATAGAAAACTATCTGAAAGATATACAATAAAATATCAAGTGGTCATCTCTGGACGGGGGAATATGTTGTGTTTAGTTTCTCATTCTTGATTGTGTTTTCACACATATCTTTTTTTATTTAAAAAAGGGAGCAGATGGGACGAGAGGAGGTGGAGAGAATGAGTATAGACTGCTCTTCATTTCTGTTGTGAAGGGGAGCAACTCAAGTTAAGCAGCTTTTTCTTTTTAACGCAGGTGACACAAAGGTAGGAAGTGATGGAGCAGAGGTGGGGAGAGTGACGACACAGGACAGAGATGACTGTAGGAGTGAAGTTCCTGAAAGGGGCTGGGGGTCAGCTCCTGTGGGAGCAGGGAGGGTGGGTGAGGGGAGGAAAAGGCAGGCCTTCACTTGCTGCATTCTATTCCTTTGTCAAGTACCGTTAGGGAGCCATCTTTGAGAATATCTGAGAACAAACACGTACAGCTGAGTGTTCTGGTCAAGTAGTTATTTTTTTAAATAGCATCTTTAGTATGATAATTTGCTGCTTAAAAACACCCAAGAAATCAACTTTAATGTGGAGAGGTGGACAAACTTAACTATTAGTGAAATTCTGTATGCAACTCTAGCCCAGATTAAAATCAAAAATAAAAACAAAGTAGCCTGACTGCTATTAGCTGAAAAAAGGCAAGGTATGTTCAAGGTGATAAACTGTGCTGGATGGACACAATTCTGTAATCAACAGGCTACTGGAGGGCAGCTTGGCCCCTTGTGGAATCACAGTTGCGTGCACTTCAAAACATCACTTCTTTATTCACGTGGAAAGAAAATAAGGCCAACACTTGTTTCTACCCCGCTCCCCTGCCCACTCACTCACTTGTGGACACTGAGACAGCAACTGGTCACATTTCTAAGTGGCCACAAGATCTCAAAGGTGTAGACATGAAGGGGAAGCTGGAGCTCACCACCTTCTCCTCCCAAGAGAAAATAAAAGAATGAACTCTGAGAACCAGTGCCCGGTGCCAAACTCATTTCTTTTCTTGAAGTAAGTAGATCAGAGACACCTGCTGAAGTGTCTTCATGATTTCTTTGAGGTGTCCATTAAGATTCTTCTTCCTGACCTCATGGCAAGGTAACACTCCACGTGAGCTGAATGACAAGCCATTGGGCTGAAAACCCTACAGAGGAGGCTGGCAAAGTGCTGGCCACATGGCTCCTGTCACTGTGACTGCTGGGTCTGCCTAAAGGCTCCATCCTGCCGCTCAAGGTTATTAGTCACCTTGTGGATAAATTTTCAGAAGGCCTGTTCATGCTCATAAAACTGACGGATGTCACAAGCTGGCAGACAGAATGCTTATGAAGAATGACAGAATCAGGATTAACTGCAACATCACAAAATCCAGTAATTTTGCTGGATTACAGGCTGCGAGTGTGATGTGGCTGTTAAAGCTAAGGCCACCTGAGACTGTGTTCATTAGTGGGGCCTTGTTTGGAGGGCGTGTGCTCAGGCTGTATCTGAAATACTACGTTCACTTCTGGGCCCATGTTCTTAGGGTGCACTGAGGTGGTGAGGCTCTGGAGGCTTTTTCATATGAAAGAGAGTTGGGAGAACTTTGAGTTTAAGCTAGAGAAGAGAAGTCTTGGAGCTCACTTTTCCAACTAATGTATTAAAGCCTGTCTCATAAAGGTGGATCAGACTCACTCTATTTCACCAGAAGGAAAGACGTGGGACCAATGGGTGGAAGTTGTGGGAACCAGGTTTTGGTTCAGTTAAAGAAAGAACTTTCTAACAGTCAAAACTACAAAAAATTCAGTGGGAGGAGCATTCTCTTCACTAAAACCATCTGAGCAGAGGCTGGATAACCTCTTCAGGTTGATTCCTACCCTGAATGGCAGTATGAACTAGAGAACCTCTTCATCCATTCTCACTCTCTATGAAATCTAAGTGTGTAGACAAAATAAAGCCAAGAATTTATTTCAAAGCTCAGCACAGAGCTACTTCTTTAAAATGAAGAGATGCATTTAATCACATCTATGTTTCTATGAAGTCTGTATTATAAGCCTATAGTTCCTACCCTGCACCTAAGTTCCATGTGGAAGGAATACTGTAAATGATCCATTTCACTGAACTGAGACTCTATATGCTCTTTTTGACACAGAACAAGAACACTGACTTGTGCTGGGGCTCAGAGTAAAAATGTCCCTATTTATACCCAAGATCTGTATGTAAAAGTGTCAGAACCACTAAGAGCAGAAAAGGCCAGCAGAACCCTCCTTCAGGCTCTGCTTCCCTCTAAGACCACAAAGCATCCAGAAGCTGCTTCTAGAAAGGGGCTCTTAACACGGTATCCACCAGGGTTCAGGATTCCTCAGAAAGTTTGGCAAAATTTTGTGCTCATGGCCTTTTTCTAAGGAGAGTATCACAGTTTTCATCAGACTCTCAAAGGTGTTCATGACTATAAGAAGAGTAAGATCTGCACAAGTGTGACAGCACTCTGAGGGCAATTCTGCTGCTCCCTTCCTGATGTGGGTCAGGGGCTGCAGCTTCCTCACTGTTGTGCAGGGGGTAAGAGAACTGATTCTGGATTTCCCTGCCAACACTAAAACCCCACAGCACAGAAATGGCACGGCAAACACCCTTGTTCACAAGGACCCCTGAGCCCTGAGGACACAGTGAATGAAAGGTTTCCAATGGCCATGACAGGCACATCCCTCTTAAATCATGGTCACATTTGGCTTCAAAGAGATGTCACTGGCCAATCTGTCACTGTTATTATGGATTTTATTACCACCTTTCCTGATTAAAGACCAAAAATATCAAATAATCACCTTATTGTCAAAGGTAAGCTTACACTTAAATTCACACAAGTAGCTACAGAATCTTCAGGAAAGTATATAAGTTATTCTGAAATACTACCCCTTCTCCCACCAAAAAAAAAATCCCACCCACCTACATGTACCATTTAAGTCAATAAATTAAAAGTATTTTAGTACTATCTACTCTGAAAGTAGGAAGGGGGTAAGATAGAGAAATGGAACCTAGATCATTTTCAAGAGAAATGTTTTCCTTTTCTAGAAACCTTTAAAATTAAGATTGATACTCATCCATCTGGAATGATTCTAGTCCTTTTAAGCAGTGAAGAGAGTGAGCCATTGTGGGCCCTTCTATTCCTATGGTTTTAAGTAGTAAACATCCTAAAGGGCCTCAAAACCAGAAGCAAAATGAAAGAGGCTCATCCATGCACAAAACCACAAGCACAATGCTGGAGAGGGTGTGGAGAAAAGGGAACACTCTTGCACTGCTGGTGGGAATGTGAATTGGTACAGCCACTATGTAGAACAGTATGAAGGTTCCTTAAAAAAACTACAAATAGAACTACCATATGACCCAGCAATCCCACTACTGGGTATATACCCTGAGAAAACCATAATTCAAAAAGAGTCATGTACGAAAATGTTCATTACAGCTCTATTTACAATAGCCAGGAGACGGAAACAACCTAAGTGTCCATAATTGGATGAATGGATAAAGAAGATGTGGCACATATATACAATGGAATATTACTCAGCCATAAAAAGAAACGAAATTGAGCTATTTGTAATGAGGTGGATGGACCTAGAGTCTGTCATACAGAGTGAAGTAAGTCAGAAAGAGAAAGACAAATACTGTATGCTAACACATATATATGGAATTTAAGAAAAAAAATGTCATGAAGAACCTAGGGGTAAGATGGGAATAAAGACACAGACCTACTAGAGAATGGACTTGAGGATATGGGGAGGGGTAAGGGTAAGCTGTGACAAAGCAGGAGAGTGGCATGGACATATATACACTACCAAACGTAAAATAGCTAGCTAGTGGGAAGCAGCCGCATGGCACAGGGAGATCAGCTTGGTGCTTTGTGACCACCTAGAGGGGTGGGATAGGGTGGGAGGGAGGGAGACGCAAGAGGGAAGAGATATGGGAACATATGTATATGTATAACTGATTCACTTTGTTATAAAGCAGAAACTAACACACCATTGTAAAGCAATTATACTCCAATAAAGATGTAAAAAAAAAAAAAACCCACAAGCACACAAGCACCATTAACGATTTGAAGTAATACAAGGAAAGACTGACGGATTGGTGGATTCTTCTGGCCACACCTTGTGAGAAAACAATTACTCCGAATACTCGATTTTGCACTGCATGTTTTTGAAAACTCAGATTCAGGAATCTGCAGAATATTTTCAGTAAGAGATCTAACAGAAATGTTTTGCTTTTCAATTTAAAAACATTTGCTAATATTGATTGAAATGATGACACTCCAATATCTACCTGTGTTCATGTTAAATCTGTAATCAGAGATGGTGATGTAGAAATACACAGTCAACTGTCACTTAAAAACACACCACAAAAATTGGACATGCTATACACTTCTCTTTTAAAATGTATTTGTATTATTTTCACCAATCAAAACACACATAATATATTTTATTATAAAACATTAGGCAATGTTACTTTTGAGATATGCAATCTGAAAGGTCACACCTGTGTTTACTACCAGTGTGAAACACCAGAGGAGTTACATTAGAAATCAACCAGACAAATTCATCATACATCATTACCATGACTTACACAGCATCAAATCTGGATTAAACCAGTATCCCATTCAGTGTTTCAACTATGGACTCTGGGTGTCAGTAAGGGGCCCTGCCAAGGGTTTTCTCCTTTCAGCACTGCGGCTCTGAGTTTCAGGGTGCAGAGATAAACACAGAGCCCTGTTTCCATCTCCTGTTTCCACAGCTGATCAACACTGAGCAGGATGTGTTTCGAGAATGCTCTCCTACTCTGACAGACTCTGTCTGCTCTCTGGAACCTGTACTTGAAATCAAGACCTGACATAGGGGAGGCAGTCACTTCCTTTTTAACAAAAAACTAAGTCAACAAACAAAACGAACCTAGTCCAAATTCCAGGCTAATAATAAATTACCTGGTTTATAAAAATATGTGTCCAAAATAGTTACTTCAGGGTTGTGTACAATATAAATTACAAAAATAAAATAGAAAAGATGAAAAATTGAGCAAATTTTTCAGTTCTTTATCCAACATCAGCATTTATCTATGGAGAGCAGTTTGAAACCATCTGCACTGCACCAGGGCCCTGGCACATCTCGGCTCAGGAGGGAGGACCCTGAAGTGGGGTGAGGTATTTCTATGGAGCTCGGCTGTCTGCAGCCCTGTGGCCTGTCCTAGGTGCACTCACTGATCTCTGATGGAAGGTGGTCTTGGCAGGAAACCCGTCCACACCATCACGGACTCCATCCGTGAACACACAGAGGAATGAGTGAGCAGAAAGCCAATCTGTGCGGCACCTAGCTCCACTTACAAATGGTGCCTGGCTGAATGTACAATCACCCAGCGAAACCTTGATGCGCCCTCAGCATCCCTGTGCTGCATATACATAAGCCTAGGACAGATAATGTATTTTTAAAACTCTCACCTTTGTTTTTCTCTTTAAAGATAGATTTAGTAAAGTCTTTTTAAAGAATGTGTATTAGAGAGGAGGCCATTTTAAGATGTTTATATATGTATAGTGATAACTTGCTTCACAATACCATCAGGCCTCCAAAACCAAAATAATCCTAAGCCATGTAATAGGTGTTTCTGCCTCAATTCAAGTTAGTATTTCCATCTTATAGTTGAATGTGTCTAAACCTCACAATATAAAACTATTTATTACTTCAATATTAATTTTGTTCATCAAGGGTTCCAGTTTCCAGTGATAAGACCAATAAGATACAACTGGTGTAGAGATAATCATATATTTTAGATAATATTTATAATAAACTTTCTTATCAAAGTTCCTCCTCAGAACACATTCTATAGAATGTGAACAATGTTGATTCAATAGCTTCCAAAATAACTAAACACAAGATATGAATTTGTAACAGAATAAGCTCAAGGGAAAAGCATTATGAGCACAGGTAGCCGTATGTGACCATCGTAACTCCATTTCTGCAATGACACTTCAATACTCAGCATTTTACTGAACTTTGAATGATTTCCATATCAGTCTGAAAGTATCAATTTCAGGTGAGCAGTTTAAAATCAGAAAATGTTCAATAGTTAATTACTACCCTTTAGGATATTTCCTCCATATCCCTCAGAAGTTTTTCCAGAACATTCATGGATTTCCCTTAGGAAAAGGAAATGCCTCCACAAAGTGGAAAACAAACCATAAACAGGCATTCTGAATCAGTCTGCTTCCTAAAACAGACCAAAGGGGGATTTATGTGGTTTCTTTCAGAGAAGAAAGAAAGTCGAGTAAGAATGCTGTGTTGGAAGAGGGAAACTCTGCCTTGTGAAATCACGTATCTCACCTTGAGTGACAGAAGGTAAGAAAGGACCCAGTCCAGGCTCAAGCAAAGCAAGCACTTAGTAAGTGACTGCAATCATCTTTAGTGATCACTTCATAAAATTCTACTCTAACAGCAGGTGATGGGTTCAAGAATCTATTTGCCATCATATTATTGACATAGGTATTAGGTGGCTAATAAAGAAGGTGAAGTTCTAGGTAGCATCTTAAATTAATAAGTCCAGAAGACCAAGAAAAAAGAGATAGGGAAGATAGGATTTTAAAGGTATATATGTTTTAAGCAGCACAAAACAAAACTTAAAATTTTATCATGCAGTAAAGCTGAATGTACAGTCACCCAGACTAAGACAATTTAGAGAAAACAAAGTGTCCTGGTCTTAGCAGTGGTAATTCTCAGCCCCAAACATGACAAATTTAAGAAAAGTTACATTTTAAATTTATAGATTTAATTATATTCCTTCTGAAATACGAAAGAAAATAACTCATACCCTAAAAGAAGGCAAGATATGATAATATGATGGTGGCCAATTAATACACATAAATCTATTTTTCTGGACAGACACCAAATTACTTAAGAGGATTAAGAGACAATTCTAGAAGCAGCACTACCTTGAAGATTATTTGGCTTTATAAATACTGATTTCCAAAGTGCTAGAGGGCAAGTCTGAGCAAGCATTTGTGGTCACATGCATATAAGTCCCAACGGTTACTGAGGATGAGAAACTGTCACTATTACTGTACAACTTAAGAAAAAATTCATCTATTCTAATTGCTCACCTGAAATGACCTTGAACAAAATCTCTAAAAGTGTGGTTTGCACTTTTTTTCTTTAGACATAATCTGCTTCATTTTATAATCTAAGCAAGGCAAGCCTAGTACGACTGAGTAGGGGCAAGGCATCGTGTTTCTTACATGCAGAACATGGAGTTTTTCTATTTGGTTCCATCAACTCCCAAGTATTTCAGGCCCAAGGAAGCGAGAGTTCCTTCACTGATGACAAGCTTGCTATTTCTAACTTATCATCGACAACCTTCAAGGGGTCCTGTTGAGGCATCCAGACTGCTGTCTGTGTCTGAGGCCAGCGTCTGCTCAGTGGACATGGATGAAATGTCATTGATAGATGACGACTGAGAAGGAGTGGCGTTGCTACTTACTGCTGCATCTGTGCTAAGAAAACCAAATATAATAAAATCTGAGGCACGACATTGCTGCAAATCCAGGCAACGAGACTTTAGGTCATTTCTCAGCTCTGTCCTTTTGTAGTTTCCTATACTATTGGTATAAACAAGAAGTTACTTGACTATACATTTTGAACTTTTCCTGGAGTCTTTCTTTAGGCTCAAAATCCCAATTATTCCTCCATCTTTCCCTGCAATATTCTCTTTCTTCCCAGTGGCTAAACATCATATATGTACTCATGTATAATCATGTTATTAACTTCTTTAAAAATACCTGCTGGTTTTAAAAAGATATTAAAAGAAAATTGCTGAATTTATCCTAAAACTATCAGTATCACAAAAGGCTTAAGCCCAAGTAGGATTCAAGTGTCATCAGACATTTCAATTATAATCATAAACACTTAGTCCAAGGAAAAAAGCATCAACCTTTGAAAAATTCTTTTGCAATAAAAATACCTTCTAAAAGAAGGATTACATGCAAATTAAAAAAGGAAAAAAAATTAGTGGACTCTTGTTTATTTTATTTTTGCTTTCTAAATCCCCAAAGCTGTCATGTTAAGGCAAATGAAACTATCCTATTTCCTACTATCTATATTTTAGTCTGGTTTGAACAAAAACAAAACATCCAGGTTCTCAGAGGTAAGTCTTAAATTTGCGCTGAGTTAACAACGAGCACCTAAATTCGTATTGAAGTTATATAATCTCTAGACACTTGACACATTTGTCATGCTGAATATAAAATTCAAGAATAAGAAGCAGTCCAACATGTACTTACGTGTGTGTGTGTGCATGCACTTTCCAGTGGGAGTGGAGTGAGAAAATAAATATAACTAAAGAGTTTTGTTTAAGTAGAACCCTACAGGACACCATAGATACTATGTCTTTAATACTCATACAATTACCTAATTGTTAGTCAGACTTCTACCACTAAGTAAAACACGTAGAAAGATGAGAGAATTAGATGAACAATTTTCTCAAAAGAAAACCCAATTCCATTTTATCTAGATTCAAATTAATTTTCATTTTTAACTGGTTGGGGGCAGTACAAAGAGGGTCATGCACATTGAAAAGGCTTTAAATTCGATTTCCTTATCAGCAGCTGTTACAAGGATGAAACAAGAATGTTCATAATATAGTTGGTTCGCTGCCTGGCACAACAGTAAAATGTTAGCTGCCACCACCAGGACAAACCGAAAAGGAGAAGACTATTTCACATAAGGAGTTTTCAAATCCAATGCTGGTCAAGCTGGCACTTAACACACTGTTGCCACTTATAAAAAATGAATAGGGAAAGAAAAATATTATGCAGTCAAACTATTAAAGCAATCACTAACCTGAAGGTTGATCTTTCACAACACCATTCTTGCTTCTTTCTTCCCAATCCATTACTTCTTTGTAAATTAGCTCTTCAAATAGAAATGCAAGTTAAAATGATTCATCAGTTTCTTTGCATCTCAAAATACTGCTTCCAAATCAATTGGAACCACTCCAAGGGCACTGTGATGTGCTATTTTTAATTGTGATAGACAATTAAGTAATATAGTTTACCTAGACCAAAATATAATTTGATCCATTATATCTCTTCAACCCAGCTATTGAGACAGCCAGGGACTTCCCTGGTGGCGCAATAGTTAACAATCTGCCTGCCAATGCAGGGGACATGGGTTCGATCCCTGGTCCGGGATACCACATGCTGCAGAGCAGCTAAGCCCATGTGCCACAACTACTGAGCCTGTGCTCTAGAGCCCGCAAGCCACAACTACTGAGCCTGCGTGCCACAACTACAGAAGCTTGGACGTTTAGAGCCCGTGCTCCACAAGAGAAGCCACCGCCTGTGGGCTGCAACAAAGAGTAGCCCCCACTCGCTGCAACTAGAGAAAGCCTGCACGCAATCAAAACCCAACACAGCCAAAAAAAAAAAAAAGACAGCCAAAAATGTATGGTTGCTCTGGATTCATGATGAGGGTTTTACAAAGTGGGGGTGAGGGAGAGAGAATGAGAGAGACACACAGAGGGAGAGAGGTGGGGAGAGAGGGAGGGAAAGTACTAGCAAAGTGGCTCTAACAGAACAGTTTAAGTACTGGATACACTCACATCTTTTTGCACATGTTTTCCTCCATCTTTACTGTGGTTCTCCAAATATAACCCCTCCAGATTGGTCAGAAATTAATCTAATTACCTAAGTTTTTTCTTGGCTTCAATCTCAGTTTTCCTCAATTTTCATTTGTAAGAAAAACTAATTACCTATTAACTAAGCAGCTTCCTAAAATTTTGCTATTCATGAAATAAAATTAGCATATTGCAAGCAGTTAGTGAGGCCTATGGGTGTGCGCACATGCAGGTTGTTAGTATCCCTATATCCCGGGGAGGGGCTCTTGGGAAGGACACATCACCATGTTTGACTTGCGCTGACCATAGTTCTCAATTACTACTGATTCTGCTTTTTAATGAAAAATTTTTAGTTCAGCCTCTTTTTTACTGGTTTAGTTTGCTGTGGGTTGTTTGGTTAATCTTAGTGGTAATAATAACTATCTGCATATTTTTGATCTGCAATTTTCCCCAAACTCTTATTTTAAAACACATATATAACTACATGGCTTACAAATACAGCAGAAGTTCACATGACCCCAGTGGGGTCTCCCACGGCTGCTTTACAGAGACCTGTGAATTGGGGTTACTCAACAATTTGCAACATGTTGTCAAGGTAAGTGTGATACAATCACTGAGTTTAGTTTACAAACCAAGATTTGATAATGTAAGATTGCATGAAAAAGCCTTTATTTTTCTCTTTTGAAGCAAATAATATGCAATTCATACACGTTCCTCTCTAATTCTGTTATCTTCAAGTTCTTTTTCTACTGGGAAATAGGAAGAGAGAGGATAAATGGGCTTCAGGGTTTCTCAACTCTCTCTTAGAAAGGCTATTGTCAAAAAGTGCAGGCATGAAGCAGAGGCAAGTGTTTTTTCTTGATGCCACATTGAAGTGAAATTAGAACAGACTAAGCCACACAATGATTTCATATTTGCACAGTATAGAACACTTCACAGATACCTCTGCTTTGCCTACCTGTATACAATGTTGGCAACATACACTTTTTAAAAAATCTTGCCCCATTGCAAGAAATGTCATAAGTAACAATCAAAATAAGTTCCGTCTTTACCTTTCCATTCTTCAATTGCATGTTCTCTTTCTTCCAACTGGGCATCATAAATTTGAGGTGGTGGCTAAAAGTTAAATTACAGCTAAAGTCAATAGTTAAAAAAATAATGAGGCATGAAGAAAAAGGATCACTTTGTAAGACTTCTAAAATATTTATAATATGGATGTAGTTTCATTAAATACGTGGCTTATTAAAGATTTCTTTATAAGTATGATTTCCATCAGTTTCAGAATCAAAATAATTGAGGAAAAGTTAACCAAAAAAATAGAGCATTATAGTCCTCTTAATAATCACACTCTAAAGACATCTGCCCAAATGTAATTATAAAATTAGTAATCACAGGCTGCTTCTTAGAGATCTACCCTGGACAAGGTACTGTGCTATGAAATACAGAAGCTGCAAAACACATTTCAGGTTTATATTTCTTCCTGTTAGAACTCCCAAACTCAACCCCCAATTCATAAATGGACTGCTTCAAAAATTTGCTTAAAATCATGTGTTTATAAATCAAATTCTTTTCATATAAAACAATGTTTAAAATGGTGGTTAAATGCATAGGTCAAGACATAATAATGAGCATGCCACTATGTGGTTATTTCACTTCCAGCTAAAGACCATCCATACCAATGCTGCTACAGAAAAATGCACATGAGCACCAAACTCAGAAGTGGAACCCCCCTAGCAGGTACCTCTGGGGAAGGATGAACAAACTTGTGATTTTCAGGAAGTTTCTTAGCCTGACTGGGTGCCTAAACAAGATGATGTAAAGCAAAGCCCAAGGCACAGTGCCAGGTACACAAATGGATGCCTAAAAAAGGTGATATTATGATCACACATCAGCATCTGCATAAATGAAGATAATTATATCACCACAGCATAAGCATGTTCACTCCTGAGGTACTCTGAGCAGAGCCCCACTAACAAGAGTCCCAAAAGGGGTTGTGAGCCATGTTACATGGCCTCGTTGTAATCAGGAGTCCTTTTAAATCTAGGACTTTATGTACCCATTCCAGACTAACAGACAGAAGGTCCAAGGAAATGTATGCCCTGCCTTTACACATAAGCCTTTTCAAAATAGATGCTTACCGCTTCTGCTTCAGCAGGGTCATACCAAACAGTGATATAAGGGTGACGCAAAGCTTCATCTACAGAGATTCGCTTGTCGGGATCTATCACTAACATTTTTGATAGTAAGTCTCTGGCTTGACTTGCTAGGGTAAAAACAAATATTAGATTAATAAAGTAATACCGTTAACCTGAAAATCACACAATAAAGAACTAAATGTGATAGCAGAGACAGAACAAAAATATATTAACTTTGAGAAACTGTTGATAGCTTCAAGATTATTAGAGTCTTTTTCTTTAACAGTAAGTCAAGCAGCCACTTCCACTACAAACCAGGCTTTCAAATGTGCTTTCAGCTTCTGAATTTGGAAGGGAGAAGGACAGGGCACAAGGCTGAGAAGCCACGTCCAGGGAGGGTGCAGGAGCTAAGCTAAGGGTGTCACTGCCAAGAATGCAGGCATGAAGCAGAGGCAAGTGTTTTTTCTTGATGCCACATCGAAGTGAAATTAGAACAGACTAAGCCACACAATGATTTCATATTTGCACAGTATAGAACACTTCACAGATACCTCTGCTTTGCCTACCTGTATACAATGTTGGCAACATACACTTTTTTTAAAATCTAGAGATTAGTAGTTAGAAAAAAATCCAACAACTTCGATAACTTGGTTAAATATAAGGCTCACCTAGGTTTTAGCAATTAAAATTCACTAGTATAGGCAAAGAAGAGATGGGGCTTTTCTGAATGAGGCACAGTTTATCTTGATGTAGAGAGAAACAAATCTATTCTTTCCCTTAAAACACTTAGTGACAGGCACAGGAGAAGGGGAGAAGGAGCCTTTTAAAATTTCTGACTGTTCAACTGGGCTAGAATCTTTATTCAAGTATTCTTTATACCTGAAAACTGTTTGAATTCCATTTGCTGTAATTAACATAAGAGTCTTTCAGACTGATGTAAATATTCTGACCACAGCCTTCAGTTACGTCACTTTATTGAGGACAAAACTTCTAGGTCTTTAAGCTTTCTGAAATGCCTTCATTCTACCTGTAAATGACTTTGAGGGTTTCAACTATTTTGTCTCTCAATGTTCACAGGTTTTAGAATGCAAACATAAAGTGAAAGCTTCACCCAGTATAAGAAAAAATGATATCTTACTTTTAATTTTGTCTCGTTCAGATTCTGATGGGAATATCCAATCTGGAAAGAGTTCTTCAAATTTGATTCCAGGATACTTTGGTCTGTTTTCTACGTAATTCCTCACAGTTGGCTGAAGTTTCTTCATGAAATCTGCAGATGGTGTTCCTAGCTGCTCAATAACTTTATTCCACTGATCAATATCTAAGGAGTCTCTTGAGGAAAATACAACTGAAATGCCTTATATTCATATTACATAAAGTAGCATCATTCAAAGAAAAATTATATTTATACTTATCAACAAGTAATTAACCAGGCCACCTCACTGGGTCAGCAGAAGCATTCTGAAATAATATTCGAAAAAGGTTTGGGCTCCAAGTTAAGACTATTTAAAAAAAACTCTGCATCTTTATAAACTCTGATCACAGTTTATTAAATCAACACGATGAAGTCTATATGCCTTCCCATTCTAGATCAAAATAAAGTTATCTTGTAACTGAAGAACACCTATGACTGAAAGGCTTAAACATGAAATTAGGTAGTAATTATATAGGCAAATTGAAATCTGTTCTCATAATAAAACTATGTTAGATCTAAAGCTCCCTAAAGTAGAGAGACCTATCTGATTGCTCAATTTACAGCTGGGAGCCACCCCTGCGAGGCAGGTCTGGAGGGATGGGGTGCATGAGGGGGTGGGCAGGAGCCAAGGCTCTGGACTTTCTGAGCTCTCACCATGTCCTTTCCCACTGTAGCTGTGCTTACATTGAGCAGTGACAGCTTTGAGAGGTCATTCTGTTTTACTTGGCACTGACCCGGACCATCACTGCAATACAAAGGAGTGTGTTTCATTTCCTTTCAAAGTATATGACCTGGGTTTCAGACTCCATTGTGTATTAGACATTCACTAGGTGTCAGGCAGTCAATCTCCCTTGGGTCTCACCTTCCTATTTGTAAAATGCAGACAATACCAGCTTTGCCTCTTTCACTTGGGGCTTGAGATAACTGGCAAGATGAATGTGGAAAGGGATTCTATTGATAAAACCATAAAAATTATACAAGAGAACGCAAGCCAGAGGAATCAAATAAACAGCATCTTTAAAAAGTGACTAATTGAGGTATGTCTTAGAAAAATAAAATGACATCACTGTGAAAGAATCTAGGGAACAGACACATGGTCTTTAAAGAACAAAGGAGGAGGCCCTCTCGCTTCCTGTAATGTCTTTCTTCTTGCTGGTACACCATCCACTGGAGGATTCCATCACCAATCAAACAATTTTTTTTCTCCCATCTTAAAGCAACAGCCACTCTCCTTTGGCTGAACATCGTAGCTTAGCTACCATTCCCATTTGCAGCAAAACAGAGTTGTGTATACTTGTATCTCTAACTCCCAGCCTCTCATATTCTCTCTTAAACATCCTCTCATCAGACTTTTCCCCCATCACTTCATGAAAACTGCGCCCATCAAAGTTGCAGGTGACCATCCCTCAATTCTCAGTCCTCACCTTTTTGACAGTGTCAGTGAGCCTCCCTCAGTAACCTGCTTCCTGGCCTCCAGGGTCCCTTGCTCTCTGGGAGGTGCCTGCCTAAAGCTTTCTCTTTCTCTTAGGCCATGTGGGGACAGGAGTTCCTTTTCTACCTCAGGTTACGAATCTAAAACAAATCTCTGAGAACTGCAATCTGGTTTCTGGAAACTTTTTCTATCTAATGTTGGAAAAAGTTAGCAAAATTGTCTTTGGAAAATGATGTAATCTCTGTGTATGTTCTGAGAATGACAGTAGGTGACGTTATACATAAAATTATTATTACTGACATTGCAAGATGTTAATATGTAAATTAAGAATTTTAAATTACTTAATAGTGTACCAAAGAGTTCCTACACTTTTCATTTCTGTACTTTCTGAAGAAAACCTTTAATTAATTAAAGAAAGGAAAGTCACAAAATGAATTAAAAATTGAGACAAACTGAATGTTAAGTAGATACTTCTAATTATGTATCTTTAGGGCATTCCCTGGCAGTCTGGTGGTTAGGACTCTGTGCTTTCACTGCTGTGGGTCCAGGTTCAATCCCTGGTGGGGGAACTAAGATCCCACAAGACTTGTGGCATGGCCATCAATCAATCAATCAATCAACCAATCTTTAGAATACATCAACTTTTCCCTTTTTAAATGAATTTATTTGCAAATTAAAGATCTCCTTTTTTACATATTGAAACAACTGAATCTAAGGTAAGGCTATGGAAAATTGCTAGAAAATTTATTAGAACAAAATAAAATGCTGTATTTAACTTCACATAAAATCTGTGATGTGAAAAATGTCAAGGAAGGTAAATAAAATGATAGGAATAAAATCTTTTCATTCCAGGTCTGTGTTGTGAAGAATTTATATTACAAATAAACCAACCTCATAAAATTATAAAAAACTAAAATTACTTTAATAAAATACATATAAAACATGACTATATAACTTAAGTTCTTTTAAAGATAACCATCAATCTGCCAGCAGAGACCACTTTCATAACAAAAAACAAAATCAAAAGACTAATGAAAATTTTAGGTGGTTAGAACACAAATGAAAAAGGGTATACGTGAAGAACCATGTTAGAGCAAAAAATATTGAAGATGGAAGAATATGAGGAATATGAGAAAAGAAAGCTATTGAAACTATCATATATCTACTCTCCTTTATGCTATATGTCATTAATATGATTTGCTGACCACAGTATAAGTTAATCTTTTGCATTTTATATTTATTTAAATGTCTGTTAAACTTCCCCACTGTGTCACAAAATAACCTAAGTGGATCTTCTAAAATTTTCTACAAAATGTCAGAAGAGTAACAAAACAAAAAAATGTAGCAAATATTGTTTCTCACAAACTTTTTACTTTAATCTTTTTCATTTAGGTATTTATGTAGTTTGCTTCAGTTCTTACTTTGGAGGAAAATATTTTAATTCATCCTGGTAACTAATGAAATAGTATATTAAACAAATTACAAATTATTGGCCTATTAAATTTAGACAACTTTCTAGATAGCTAAATTAACTGAATTAACTAAACAGAATTTTCATTTAAATATCAGAATACATTTGTCAAAGAGTAAATACATTTCTTATAAGCTATTTTTAATAAAATTAAGAACTAATATAAATTGGTTTAACTTAATTCTATGCCTCAATAAAATTGTTACAGGTAGTCAAGCAAAAAAGAAACATAAAATTGAACCATTTGGTGTGTGACACTAATTTAACAAACATAATCAAGACCCCCTTAGAATACAGTCTAGAATTACAACATTTTCCTTTTGACCTCCTGCTGCCCTTGGTATTTATGGAAAACATGGCCGGGAAGGTCCCCCGGGAAGGATACGATCAGTGCCTTGGAATATCACACAACCTTTCACCAGCTCTCCCATGATGCAACCCACTGACCAGATATCAACTGAAAATAAAGTGAAATGACAAAATTATGAAGTGCCATGAACAAAACAAAGGTGAGGAAAAGGATTCTAACAGTGTACTAAACACACAAACAAGGAAAATAAATTGCTAGTAACGGGTGAACTTTTTTACACAGTATGAAATATTGCTGACCTCTATCTTGGCCTTCGGTTTGCAGCAATCTGGGCTTTTAGTGCCAAAGAGTCCAATACTTTACAGCTTCAGAAACAAAGTCCCAGAAACAAGAAGTGCCTGTCCCCACAAAGCTGTTTCCAGGCACATGCCCACCCCTGCCCCCAGCCTTCGTGGTTAGTGCTGGGTCTCTCCCTGTGAAGGATACAGTCTCTTCCTGGGAACAGGACTTTATGGAGGACCATTTCTGCCATGATGCACCCGACAGACCAGATGTCCACTACCAAACACCAGGTGATTAAAACCAGCCAGAGACTCTCCAACACATGTCCTTTCTCAAACCCCCTCCCAAACAAAGACAAACCCAGCTTGTCAGCAGGACTTTTGTAAAATATGAACACCACGCCTCCAGAATGATCCTTTTTTAAACTGTCAAGTCAGCAGGGCCTCACAGGGACAGGCTTGTCTGGGCTCCAGGTGAGGGCCAGAGGTGCCCCAGCTTCTGGCTGTTCACCATCTTCTGTGGGGGCCCAGCTGAATTACAGGCCTCAGGTGACCAGGCAGAGGGCTATTTATTGCCCCTGCTGCTGGGGGTGGGGTGAGAGAAGCTAACAGGGGACCTAATTTTCTCTCATGTCCACAGAGGACTGGAAGCCCACAGAGCTGTGTCTCTCAGAATGGGAGCACAGGTTATAAAATATCTGAATAAACTTGAAGCATAACTCATTTCAGATGACTTAGGCAAACTTTCAGATTCTTTTTTTTAACACGTGAATGTGATTTAGTTCTTTTTGACAAATTTTTCAAAAGTTAAGCTTCAAAGAGCTCTGATATTGCTTGAATAAGTTTTGCTGTGAAAAAAATACCAATTTTACACACAAAAAGCACATGTTGTATTATTCCATTTATATCAAGTTCAAAAATAAGCAAAATCAGTCTCTGTTGCTGGAAATCAGGATAATGGCTTCCTTTGGGGATTGAGACCCAGAGCGGGACTGGGGAGGCCTTGGGTGCTGCTCGTTATGTGGGTGTGCTCCCATTGAGCTGCACACTTGGGATTTGCATACGTTTCTGTAAGTATGTTATACTTTGATAAACGTTCAAAAATATTAACTTTAAAAGTGAATTTTTAAAGTGGATAATTTTAGCCAGTGGAAATATAAAATTAATTATTTCTCATCTGTGAACTATGATAACCTATGTATAACACAGCCTCCACATTATACTTCATACAGTTCACAGGAAAGAGAAAAAAACTAGTGATGACGAACAGCACTATTTTTACACATCTCGGCCTCTTCCAGTTCTGTCTGTACTCACCGTTCTCTTTGTAGCCCATGCCCAGGATGACTTCAGGTGCCCGATAATACCGCGTTACCACGTAGGGGGTCATCATAAAGTTGGTGCATGCTGTGCGAGCCAGGCCAAAGTCAAGGATCTTAAGGGTACAGTCTGACTTTACTACAATGTTGCTAGGTTTCAAATCCTAGGGCAGAAATGATTTAAATTAATAAAAGGCACCAAAACATGCTAAGTAAACAATCTCACATTGGTAAGGATTTGTGAGGTATGTGAGAGTGCTGGGAGAAGGAGGAAAGTTAGAATTGAACCCTGGGATTTTGGAACCATTTTGGAAAATCCTACTCTCATATTGAAACTAATACAAATCAGCCTAGAGAGGCCATATGGTTGCCCTTACCCCTGTGTGGAAACCTTCATGACACTCCTTTGCTTAAAACCTTCTGAGAACTTCCACAACACCCTCTCCTCCCTCACTCCACGCCTGGTCATCCTTCAGTTCCCAACACTCTGGCTCTTCCCTGCTGTCCAATACAAATATAACTCAACCCACATGTGTAATTTACATTTTCTAACAGCCACCTTAAAAAAAGTGACTAGAAAAGGTAAAATTAATTTTAATAATATTTTCCTTTACTCCAATACAGTATATTTCCAGAATATTCATTTTAAAATGTAACCAACATATAAAAATTATTAATGAGATATTTTACATTCTTTTTGTTTGGTACTGTCTTTGAAATCCAGTGTTTATTTACAATTATAGCCACACTCTGAGTACTTAATAGTCTCAGGTGGCTAGTGGCTATAATACTGGACAGCACATGGCTAGAATTCTCTGACCCTGGAATCTTCCAAAGGCTTCTTCTTTCCTTTGAAGAAGAATCCCATGATTACCAACCCCAACTTCCCACCCTTCCCTGGGACCTACCACTCCCCACCACACATACTACCCTCAAAGTCCCTCCTCTGCCCCTCCCAGCACGGGCTCTGTAAGAGGAGGCCTCAAGGGTCTCTCTGTGCTTTCAGCTCTTAGCCCGGAGTTTGGCACAGCAAACTCTCAGAAAATGTTTGTTGAGTGAATGTACACATCATACTCCACCACACTCTCAACACAACCTATCACTTCTGTAGTTTTTTCCTTCATAACTCTAGGGACTTTCTCCATGGTGATCCCCCACATCCCAGACCCTTCCTCAGGCCACAGGAATTTGACTCTTGCCTTGGACTCCAGCCTGCAAACTCACCCTAGAAACTATGACTTCTAAACAATCCACATCTATTCTTTTCACAAGTGCTTTCCAATGTGTAGCTACAACGTCAAACTGCCAAGTCACACCACACAGTAAGACCATCACTTTTAGTGACGTTTCAGGCCCAGCACCTGGCTGAAACTTTCCAATCGATGTGTCACCAACGGGCATAGGTGTGCCTTGAGTGATGGCTGCCAGGTGTTATTGGGATAAGCAGAAAAACACTTAAAAATTACATCAGCTAAAATTATGTTTCATTACTGCTAAGCACTCTCTTTCTAAACATCCGGAATTCAGTAAAATATAACTTATAAATATATATCACTTAAAAACATAATTAAAATTCCCACCAAGCCCATGCAGATGCACTGGTCCCTGGCTGGCCCCAGAGCACTTCCGCTGTGCATGTCCCGATGTGGAGATGTGCTGTGGGGAGCACTGCCAACTCACCCACAGCTGCTATTCTGCACAAAGGAAAGCAAGCGAAGAATCAGCCCCACGCTCAAACCAGTGACCCCTTCCTGTGAGAAGGCAGTAATACAGCTAAGGTAAAACAAACCAATCTGTTTCTAGATTCCTTTTTTAAAACCAAAGAGTATGGCAGGAACAGGCATTTCATAATACAAATTACTAACATAAAATAATGCTCAACTTCATGAAAATTAAAAACCCAAATGACAAGGAACAATTTTTAGTCTCTCTTCTGGCAATGAGGAAAAGAATGGCAATATCCAGTGCTGGAGGAAGAAGCAGAAACAGACCCTTCCTTACACTGTTGGTGGGGACGTCAATAGGTGCTTTCTTTTTAGGAGACTGATGTTTTTAAAAATTTGAGATGTCTATACTTTACCACCAGCAGCCCCTGAAATCCAACCTGGCCCTGAACTAACACAGCGCCACATGAACAAGGATGATTAGAGTAGTGCCACCGGCCAGTCTGATGAACTGCTGTGTGATTAGTAGACATGCCCATTCCAGCCACCTCCACCTGTCAGAAGATTGTCCTCTTGCACTGATTTTGTTGGAACAATGCACTTTACTGCCATCTGCTGGAAAACTGTGATAATAAAATGCAAACCAAGCTGTCAAAGGTGTGGCTTGTTGTCCTGGCAGGACTGGGAGAGGCAGCCCCGCCTCCCAACGCTTGCCGATGGTCTCAGGGCGCCTGAGGGCTCCCCACATGCACAGCTGCTCTCCCACCAGTCTCCACACACAACCAGAAGAAGCTTTCCACAAACAAACTGGACTTGTAGTTTGAAGATGGCAGAGTAAAGACAGTTCTGCCCCTTCAAATCTTGAAAACTACTCCGAACAAGAAACACACATTAAAATAAAAATGACACCTAAATTTAGGGGCTTGACCCAGAGTGCGGGGATGGCATCACTGGGGCAGCCAATAAGGGTGCACAAAATATCTGCAACCAAAAAAGGGCAAGAGCAGAGGTGTGGAAGGTTGAGGCCGTTGCTATTCCTGGTCAGTCCTCGGTCTAGAACCCACTGACTGAAGAGGTGTCCTAAGAGGGAGAACCCTGCACATTGTAACAAGCGTCCACTGCCTTGATTTCCCCACAGGTACCTATGACCCCTTACTCAGGTGACTGTACCTGGGAACAGCAGACATTTGGAGAAGTGTTAGACACAAGTTCTAAGTGGATACTGAAAGTCAAAGACTCAAAGCAACATCATGCCTCCTCTAGCTGGTGGTGGGGGGTGAGTTGTGGAGGCCAGGTAATAAATGGAGACGGGTCCAGATCTCTTCCAGCTATATTATGACACAGGCCTAGGGCAAAACTGTGGAAGAATATTGCTGTTCACCTCACATGAGTGTGAATGGTTTCTGATCGTCTTTTCTAATCAGTATGGAAGAATGCATCTGCCCAGTCAAAGGCTACATGCCACACCTGAGGCCTTACTAATCTGCTCTAGCAATGACACCGTGTCCAGCACAAGCAGCTGCAATCAGGACTACTGATCAGCTAAGGCTCGATGGTCTACATTCTCTAGCATCCATCTAGTTTCTTCAAGGGCTGGACTAGTGAATTAAACTGAGCTATGAGGGACCACCATCCTCGCATTCTTTGGGTTTTAATGGCAGCATTAATCTCCTCCATTCTCCCCCACCTCCCAGAGTTCAATAATGTTTTTGATGTACTATCTTGAGGGGGGCAGTTTCAGGTTTCCACTTGGCCTTCCCCATCATAACTCTTACCTCACAGACCAGAGAACCAATGTAGGGGTCACTCTGCTAAGAATACCAACTGCCAACTGTATCAGTTCCAATCACACACTCGAGGACTGGGGAGATGACTGTTGGGTGGGTCCATGGACCCTGTGGCCCACTGTGAGCCACCAGACTTAGAACCCTCAGGAATGAAGATCTGGGTCACACTGAGGTAAGGCACAGAGACCTGCCAAGGTGATGGCTGAGGGTGTGAATAATGGAGAATGGAGAGAATGAGTACCTGTTGTGGCTCCGAGGTCAACTGTAGTGAAAGGGGCTATAGTTGGTCCCTTCCCCTCAGGAAGGGAGGCCCACAGGGAGCCTGAGGGGGCTGCTCCTGACCTGTGTGGAGAAGCAGAGCTGAGGGGGGCAAGGGTGGATGGTGGTAGCCATGAAAATGCGTACCTGGCTCTCTGCTGTGGGACTGCAACTGACAGACACCCCACTGAGGTACCCTGACCCTCCCCTCTGCTTATGACAAGGCCACACACCCTACAGTGGCTCTTGGCTAATGACTGCATGGGGAAGGAGGTCCATTCTTATGAGACACCAGATTCCTCTGACAGGCAGCTCCCAACCCTCCTTCATGCCCTCTCTACTCCAAGGGGTCAGACTGGGCTGACCCCTGTCAGCTTCCCCACCTCCTCTGACTCACTCCCTCTGTTCTTCCTCACAGGCCTTCTCCCCATGCATCTCTTGCATGTCTAATGTCATCGTGCTACACTAATGCCTTCAATGAAAAACCCCACATGCTCTATGGGGAGGGAAGGCAGCAGAAAGGAATAAATGACTTGGCTGAGTAGAGTAAATTCCAACCTCAGTGAGTGGCCCGCAGTGAAATAATGTGGACCACAACACCTGGGAAGGGCTTAGGAATTGAACGACAAGTACTGTGGAAGGCAGGATGGGGCAGGGAGCAGGACACTGAGGGATCTGGGGTGGGGGAAGGTTCACAGAAAGGTAAAGGTAGACCTCCCAGATCCACACAGAGGTGTTGGTTCCTCCTTTACTCCTACTGGCCTATTATCTAGAAAAACTAAAACCAAGTTTCCAGACTCAGGCCTCAAGCACAGTACCAACAGATCTGCTGGTATGAGGCACAGGAAGGGCATGGGTGAGGGGCCCAGCCTGAAGACAGGGTGCTGTAGCGAAGGTCTGCATTTTGCCACATGAGAACTACAGCCCCACCCCACACAGCCTTTCATACCAGCAGCCAGATTGCTCTCCCTCAGTCAAGAGACTGGAGCCTTTTCTAGAGAAACTAAATGATGTCCAGAGAAAAGACCTGCAAACAGAGACACCTGTGGGTATGTGTTGCTCTAGAGAAAAACCCCTCATTCAACAATCCCAACCCATGCACTTCCACTTGGCCTTCTAATCCTTCAGTCTTAAATAGGACCAGTGACAAAAGGTCACCAGACGTTTGAGGAAAACCTCACACGTGACAGCGAGAGACCAAATGCACTAAAACAAACAAACAAAACAAAACAAAACAAAACCTCAGGGGAAAGGAAAACACTGCAGGCAGCAATAAGAAAACTTCAAAGGGACTTCCCTGGCAGACCAGTGGTTAAGACTCCCAATGCAGGGTGCATGGGTTCGATCCCTGGTCGGGGAACTAAGATTCCGCATGCCACACAGCGTGCCTAAAAACAAACAAGAAAAACCCAGAAAACAAACTTCAAAGAAATTCTAGCCTTGTAGAGATGATAGTGTCTCCGTGCAAGAAGAACAAAATGCTATTTACCACAGCCAAGACATGGAAGCAACTTAAGCGCCTATCAACAGACGACTGAATAAGAAGATGTGGTATGTGTGTGTGTATATGGAATTACTCAGCCATAAAAAAAGGAATGAAATACTGCCATTTGCAGCAACATAAACGGACCTAGAGAATATTATACTTAGTGAAATAAGTCAGAGAAAGACAAATACTATATGATATCACTTGGAAGCTAAAAACGGATACAAATTAATATATATACAAAACAGAAACAGACTCACAGATATAGAAAACAAATTTGTGGTTAACAAAAGGGAGAGGGGGGGCTTCCCTGGTGGCGCAGTGGTTGAGAATCCGCCGGCCGATGCAGGGGACACGGGTTCGTGCCCCGGTCCAGGAAGATCCCACATGCCGCGGACCGGCTAGGCCCGTGAGCCATGGCCGCTGAGCCTGCGCGTCCGGAGCCTGTGCTCCGCAACGGGAGAGGCCACAACAGTGACAGGCCTGCGTACCGCAAAAAAAAAAAACAAAAACAAAAGGGAGACGGAAGACGGGTATGGGATTAACAGATACAAATTAACAGATACAAATTAGGGGTATGGGATTAATAGATACAAACTACCATATATAAAGTAGGTAAGCAACAGGAAAATACTGTATAGCACAGGGAATTACACCCATTATCTGGTAATATGGAATGTAATCTGAAAAAATACTGAATCACTATGCTGTACACCTGAAACTAACACAATATTGTAAATTAGCCATATTCCAATAAAAAAAAGAACAAAATGCTATAAAAAGGAACTTTTAAAAATAAAAAAGAGCTCCAACTAACTCATACTTCAGAGAAAGACAGAATAAAGAACACAGTAAAGAAGGCATTCTGAAAGAAATAATAAAAAATTTTCCAGAACTCTATGGCATGTTCTTCCAGACTGAAGTGCCCACCACAATTAATGAAAAAAATTTCCATATCAAGGCATATCATCCTAACATTTCAGAATACAAGAAATAAAGAAACTTTAAAAAATGTTTCCAGAGATAAAACAAAACCCAAAACAGGGCACTTGCAAAGGATCAGTAGTAAGAATGGCATTAGAAAGTTCAAAAGCCATACAACACTACACAACAGGGTACTGTATTTATACCTTAGAGGGGAACTGATTTGTAACTAAGAATTTTCTATCCAACCGAATTATTAATCATGTGAGAGGGCAGAATAAAGAGTTTCAGCTATCTGAGGCCTCAAAAATTTTACTTCCCATGCACCACTTCTGGGGAAGCTATTGGAGGATGTGTCCCACCAAAACAAAGGAGAGATAGGGATCAGGAAGTGGGCTCCAACTCCAGAGAGAGGTGAAGGAAATCCCCAGGAAAACGCTGGAGCGAGGTCCAGGATAAGGTCTCTGCATCAGGTATGGGGGCAGCCAGTCCAGATGTGAGCAGGGCTGAGGCGCCAGGAGACAATCAAGGTGATGGAACAGCTAAGACATTTGGATGCAGTGAGAGAAGACTTAGATACCTGGCAGAAACCTTAGGGTTTAATTAGCAATAAGGATGTGGAAAACTGCTCCCTCCTTAAAACAAACAACAAAGACCAAAACTCTAACAAATAAAAGACAAGTGTTGTTAACTCTAGGGACAAAAAGTTGAAAGGAAAAGAAATATAATCATGGTGTAAATATAGGCTTAGCTGTGAAAAGCGTTTACAGGGTCACGATGACGTAAAACACACTATGGACACTGATCCAAACCAATTACATTGTAACTATACTGGGAGGACAGGGGGACAGGAAAGGTGGCAGGTGAGGGGCACGATTGGTGAAAAAGAGCTAAATCAGTACCTTATGTCCCAAACTGAAGAAAGATCAACAAATAGAGATCTCATCATATTATTTCAAGATATGGAGATAAACACCAAAATAATAGCTAAAAGAACTGAAAGAATTTGTTCTGGGGAAAGAGAAATAAGAGGGAGGAGGTGGGGGCTCTTTTTTAGTAAGTATTTGTAAAACTATTTGATCCTTGATAAAAATACAAAACAGATCGACCAACTTATTCAGCAAGTTGCAGAACAATATATGTACAAGATGATCCTGTTTTTGAAAAATATAAGTTAAAAAGGACGTAAGTATAGACAGATATGCTGGTATTAGCATCAGTAAGAAAATGTGTCAGTGTAAAGTTAGGAAGGAAACACACCCAACTGCCATCACTGGCCTCCTCCAGGTGACAGGTGGGCTGGGGACTTCCATTCAATTTTTTGAATTATACAAGGTAAAAATTGGTGGGAATCCAGGTGTTTTATTTTTCAAGTAATTAAATTTTATGTTTAGAATGAAACCATTTTAGTAAGCAAAACCGAATGTGTGTATTTATGCCTATCGTATAGTATACAGAAAAAAGGACAGGAAAAGTTCACAGAAAACCGTTAACAGGCTTAAAGGGATAACTGCGGTTCATCACCTCTTGGGACCTGGAGGGGTGGTGGGTGTGCAAACAGGTGCCTTATCTACCTTTCCCACAATGACCACGTGGTACTTTCACAGCAGACACAAAGTCTGGCAGACTCAGAAATGTGTGAACAGGAGGGCATAAGACAAGGGGAGGGACACCCAGTGGGGAGGTAAATGGGATGGAGAGGTGGTTGGCGGAATCATGCTGGGCAAACCAAAACTTTCTTGGACCTTCTGGTCCGCAGGCATGGGCCTAAACCGCAGGGACGGAACATCACCTAACACAGGCACATGCATGCTGCAGCTCTTACAAAACCCCCTAAAATGGGAGGATATTGCTGCCCCATGTATGTCTGGGCCCAAGAGGGGAGATACAAGCAAGACAAACTGTTTCCTTTTACAAAATTAATAAGGCCTAACATAATGAAGCCTAATAATCTGGGAACTTATTCTCAGTTAAGACTTTAATACAAAATGTATTTAAGAGAAATTAGGAGTGCCTTAATTTATATAAAGGTCTGTGAATATTTTTGAAGAGAAATAGAATGTTATGCTGGGAAATCTTTATTTTTAATTAAAAAGACCAATGTTACTATTTTTAAAGCAAGTTTGTCAACAGTATTTATAGAATTTAAACTGAACACTTGGCGGCAGCAAAGGCTGTATTTTAAATGACTGAAGGCTGGTCAGGAATCTTTGTGCCAGGCGCCCAACAGGCACTGGGAGGGCCAGGACTGGCCTCAGGCTGCAGACCTCACTCAGGCCTCAGGCCTCATGCTCACAAGGGGCAAGAGTTTGGCCCTCTCTGGATTGGTGGGCTCTGCTACTGTGTTAGGTCTCTGATCAGTGGCTGTGATGGAAACAGCCTTTCCTGGCACCCAACAGATCCAAAAGAATTACTGCTACTACACCATCAAAAATCTCTCTATTCTTTTTTGTATGAAAAGGCTTCATTGTTTTTGTCTCACTATCTTCTTCCCCCCACAGATTTCAGTTCAGAGAAAATACAACTTCTTGCTGTTGAAACATAATATTGAAAGACAGTCTGTCAACAAAATTAGTAATAATTTAAGGAATGCTAAGAATGTTTTCAATAAAACTATCTCTGCCTCTAGTCTCACTCAACATTATAGTTGCTAAAAAACCAAACAAACAAAAAACCAAACAAAAAAACACAACTCTATCATAATTTGCCCACACAGCAGTACAAGTGAAGAAAATAACAAAAACTCATAAAACCAGCTTAGAGAATATCTCTCTGGTTTTTAAATATGTACCCCCTGACAGGCAACACCATCATTCAAATTCCAGCCTTGGCCTAGTCAAAAGGTCTGCCTGGAACCTTTCCGAAAGCTCCCACCAGTATGGCTGGGATGCTGGAGTGGTAGAATTTTACGATGTAAGCAATGAACACTTGGGCCATAATTCACATAAGACTTCTCAAGCAACTGTATCATATACTACTTGGCCTCTAACTTTCCCCCACCCCAAATCCAAATTCCTTGCTCACTAAAAATGGGATTTCAAATATGGAAAAACTATTAACACCAGGTAAATCTGGGTAAAGAGTAAAGTTCTTTGTCCTATTCTTGCAATTTTTCTCTAAGTTTTAAGTTACTTTCAAATAAAAACTTAAAAAAAAAAAGAAGTATTTTTCTGCAGTACTAGTCTGAACAGCTGGCTCATGCCTGCATCCAGGGTGGCTCACATGGGCCCAGGCAAACCAGACATTCCACAAATGTCTTCTAATCTCAACTATATTTGGAAGAGTAACATGATCCCATAGTTTATTTGGATTTTCGACATTGACAAATTTTTTAAAAATATTATGTTCTTTTGTAACTGGAGATTATGACAACGAAATGATTGTGATTAAAAAACAAAACAAAACAATATGGTATCACTACTTACTCTATGAATTATACCAGCTGAATGTAGATGTTTAATACCACAGAGCATCTGGTAAAGAAGGTAGGACATTCTTTCATGGTCCAACTCCATATGAATAACCTGACATAAGTTAGCATCCATTAATTCCATAACCAAATACCTGGGGAAATAAATGATCAGCCATGTACACATGAAAATTATCCAAAATTCCTTTATGGTTATTAAACTAGAATTTTTATGAAATAGTAATAACTTACCACCTAGTCACTGCACTGGCTAAAGTAAAAAGATAACTTGTTTTCCCTAAACATTTATAAGGTATCTTGAAAAGAAGCAAATGTATAATGAAAGTTTGTAAAAGTTTTCAAAAAATGAAAACAACTAACAACAAAATGCCTTTCAAGTTAAATACAAAACAATTTTTATATCATAGTAAATAGAATCTCAAACATTCAAATTCTCCTATATTTAAACATTTTTGCTATTGGATCATTCTTACCAATATAGAAACCATGCTGTTATTGCTCTCAGCTTAAGAAAACTTTGACCTTACTTCCCCCACCAGCTACCATCCTGTATTTTTGCTCCCTATGCAAGCAAAACTCCCCAAAGAGGTGTCTATACTTATCATCTCCAATTTTTTCTCCCATTTTTCCTTAATCCCACTTTAATCAGGCTTTTGCCCCCACCACTTTGCTGAAACTGTCCTCAAGGCTCCATGTCGGCCTTCCGTGTTGCTAAATCCAGTGGCCAGTCCTACAATCCTGGCTGACTGTGCCCTTTTCCTATCCCCAGCTTCTTACTGTTGAAGTGCCAGCACTCGGTCCTTGGTCTTCTTTTCTCTAACTGTACTTACAGTCTTGGTGATCTCTGGTCTCTGGTCTCAAGACTTTAAATACCATCTATAGACTGACAACTACCAAATTAATACCTTCAACCCAGATCCCCCTGCTGAACTCCAGGCTCATTTATCTAACTGCCTATTTCACAGTTCCACTTGGGTGTCCAACAGACATCTTGAACTAAAACTGAGTTCCTGATTCTACCCTACCTCGCAATCTGTTCTGACTGTAGCTTTCCACATCTCAGTTGAGACCACTTTTATCCTTCTGGTGCTCAGGCCAAAGCTCCAAGTGTTGATCTCAGCTCCTCTTTCTCTCATACCACACATTCTCTCTAGGAGCAAACAGTGGGGTTCTACCTTCAAAACAGTGTCAGCATCCTATCTCTTGCCTTTACCATCACTATCACCCCTCTGGTCTAAATGCAGCCATCATAATCTCACCTGAATTGCTGCAATAGCCTCCTGACTGGTGTTCTGTGTCCTACTCCTAACAGTGGGTTCTCGACCCAGAAACCAAAGTTATTCTTTTAAAACGTAAGTCAGATAAGCTTACTCTTCCTGCTGAAAGTCTTACTGACTTGTAAAGGAAAATCCTTACAATGGCCTAGAGGCCCAGCAGTGTCTGGCCCTGTCACTTCTTTGAACCCACCTCTTCAACTTTCCTCTGCTTCCTCTGATCCAGCCACACTGGCTCCTGCTGTTCTTATAACACAACAGGCACACTCCCTCTTCTGCTCCTTTACACTGCCTGTTCCTTCTATCTTGATACTACCTTCCCCCAAATATCTGTAGGACTAACCTCCTCACTTCCTTGAAGGCTTTCTTCACATGTCACCAATCCAGTGAGGTCCTTCCCTAACTACTCTACTTAAAGTTGCAACCTGACTCCTAACGACCAGCACTTCTGAACCCCCTTACCCAGCTCCATTTCTTCTACAACATTTGCCACACATCCTAATGAATGACATCATTTCCTTATTTGTTATGTTGACTGTCTATCTTCCCTGGCTTTCCTGCAAGCTCTAGGAAGAAATATGACCACCTGCAATTCTTAAAAAATGAAAGGTATTTTTGCTGTTTTGGTCACTAAAGTATGCCAAGTTCAAGAGACTGTCTAGTACACAGTTGGCAATCAAATATTTGTTTGTTTTTTTTTTTGGCCTCACCGTGTGGCTTGCGGGCTGAAAGCATGGCGTCCTAACCACCACACTGCCAGGGAATTCCTGGCAATCAAATATTTGTTGAATGAATGAATGAATACATGAATAAATTTAGGATAAAGTTGTGTATTATATCTCAATAATAAATTAATATCTCATTTCATCATTACTAAGATAATTCTATTTCACATTTTGGAAGTTTAATGACTTACCCATTTCAAATAATAATTATAAACACCTAAACCCTACAATCTTGGGGACTAGAGAAAAACATGTTATATTTTATATTTCAGTAAAGGAAATCAGCAGCATTAATGGCACTGTCTGCTCTGAAGAATTATTTTCAATCATCCTTTATCTGCTGTAGAAATGATAACCATCTAGGCACAAATAGTTGAATATTATTATTCATTTTCCTTAATATTTCTCGTCCACAGAGAAAAGTGGCTAGGATATCATTTAAAAATGTGTTCTCACCTATATTTCCTAAGTAAAAAAGCAGTTACTTTCTTTTCTAAATTTTCACTCTTTGATGAGCAGTGTATTACTGAATAAAAATTATACTTACACATCTTGAAATTCTTCTAGAGTTTTCTGTGGTGTAAACACATTTAACAAACTAATTATCTGAAAAAAGAAAATTATATCTCAGCATGTCAAATGACTCTACTTGATTATAAAAATTAAGTTTAACATTAAAGTGTGTTAAAACTAGAAAAAAAATCACAGCAGAGCTTTGTATTTATTATTATTGTTATTGCTTTTACCAAAACATTCTATTACACAGCATTTGAAAAAAGCTAAATGATTAGGATTCTCAACTTGGAAATAATATGCACTTTTAATCAAATCACTTTTATGTGTCCCCAGTAACTTATTACTATAGAATTTTAACACATAATGTCTTTCTAGCTCTGAACATAAAAAAGTAGCAATTACAAGTAGAAAAACACTAAATAAAGCAATATGTTAACTCTGAAAACTTAAATACAATATCCAAATTTCTAAAAAGTTTTGAAATGTAAAGGCTAAGCTTATATTTTTGGTATGATAAAGATGAAATGCCTCATAGCATTACCTATTAACATTACCTTTACGTAAGGAGGATTCAAGAACTGACCCCACCACAGGCCTTGGTCCTGGCACCCCAATGGTTAAACAATGAATTCTGCTGCTTGAGCATCAAACACACGTCCTCAATCATTTCAAATGACTGAGGGAAAGATGAATTATTCAGTATATAGGATTTGAGTGGCTGGCTAGCCAAGGGGGAAAAAAACTAGATTCATACTTCAATCTTTACACCAAGATAAACTCAAAATGGAACAAAAATTTAAATCTAAAACATGAAACCATGAAACATTAAAATATGAATAAACATTTATGCAATTCTGGTGTAGAAAAGCCTTTTCTAAGCATGACAGGAAACCTAGGAGATTTGATTATGTTAAACACAACAACAAAAATCAGTATGACAAAAACAACCTAAATTAGGTCAGATGGAAAAGTGAGGGTTGACAGCTTTAATATACAAAGATCTTCTATAGATGCATAAGAAAGAAACCAACAGTCCTAGAGAAAAATTGACAAAGGCCATGAAAAACAAACTCTCAAGAAATAAAAATAAATGGCTAATAGAGATATGGAAAGAAAATCAACCTCACAAATAAAAATAAGGTATGATTTGTCATCTATCAGTTTGGTAAGGTAAAACAAATCAACAGTATGTAGCTCTGGGGTATTTTGAAATAAAAGACATACTCAGATACTCAATAAAAGTGTAAAATTGACAGTCTTCCTTGAGGTTAATTTGTCAGTATATATTATTAAAACCAAAAGTATGCATAGTCTTTGACCCAGCAATCTTGGCCAAGGAATTCACCTGGACAAGTGTGCAAAGATGCAATGTATAAGGATGTTCACTGCAGCACTGCTTATAATAGCAAAAAACTGGAAACAATCTAAATATCTGATAATAGGTGATTGGTTAAATGAATTACTGTGCATCTGTACTATGTAGCCATTTAAAAAATGGTTTATATCTATGTTCATTAATGTATATGAGATCTAGCAACATTCCACTAGGGAAAAAGCAGGATGTGTAATAACATAACTGAGCTTATTTATGTATGTGTGTATATATATGCATAAGAATGCTCACCAAAATGTTAATAATAGTGGGTGGTGGGATTCAAGGATTTTTCTTTCTTGTTTATACTGTTTGAATTAAAAATAATAATAAACATATTTTTTTGTAACCTGAAAAAAAAACTTTTTTACTTTTTGTTTTAAACCTGTAAAATAAAGCATGCATTGGAGAATTTAAAAACAAACACAAACCACAGACTCAAAAGATTGAACCTATCTTAGTTTTGTGTTTAATGTCCCTACACCAGAAAAATCCAGCATAAATGTTACAACAAAAGGAGCCATATAGAGTTGAGTGTACTTTTAAATACTTATCCCCCCCACCCCGTAACAAAAAGAGGTCACATGGGAGGGGGTCTCCAAAGCCCCTGCCAGACTTAACATTTTATAATTTTATAACATGGCAAGGTTATCAAAACCATGTTCAAAATAATGCTCAGGCATCAGTAGTAGAACATAAAATGGGCCTGAGTACCTCATTTTCTAGAGATATACTGTTTTTCCTTAAAATTTACAATGCTTTGATTTCTGTAGAGATGCCAAGTACAACTATCTTGAATATAACATCATCTAATAACATTTATTTAAATAAATGTGAATATGTAAAAGCTACTTATAGAACAACATTTTTCTAAAAAGTATTTGGATATTTCTCAATTTGCCAGGTCAATACTGTTGCCATTTTATACACAGGGAAACAGTGAAAACCAAATGGTTACAAGGTTAATTGACATTCCCATCTGTGTTGAGTGACTTAAATTCCTATGGACAATGATGCCTCTTGCTGACTTCAATATCTCCAATGTTGATTGAAAATTCTGTCAATAAAATATAACCATTTAAATAGTATTTTTATCACTAGTTTACCCTAGGTCTAAACTCATTGTACCTCCAAAGACCCAGATGATTATGGCAGCATTGACAACATTAAAGTATTAGAGGAAATATAGACATAACTTACATTTTTATGATTGACACATTTTAAGAGGACAAGTTCACGATAAGCTCTCTTTGCATGAGTCTGATTCTGAAAAGGACGGCTTAGTTTCTTGACTGCAACATTTATCCCAAGAACTGTATCAAAAGCAGCACTATAATTGAGAAATATAATAGGCAACCCATTAGGATGATTTTGGAATATACAGCAATGCAGAAGAATGTACATTCAATGTATTATCTTTTTAAATGAATAACAAATAAGGAAAAATCTGCTTGCTTCTACTCTGGTACTTCTGCACATTAAGAGCAAGGTGAGTTGGCTAAGAGTGCAGGACGAATGGACTCCTCTGCAGAGGCGCCACCATGGCAGCTGAAGCTAGGATGGGATTCAGCAATCCTTTGCACATGGACGTCTCATTATATTAGTTGAGATTATTATGTTCAGAACCAAGTAATTTAATACAGAGCATGTAAGACTGCTCAGGAAACAAAATCTTCAGTTTAAATATGCCAATAAGTTGAAAAAAAGTCACTGGTATCACAGAATGAAATATAAGTATATTTTGGAGTATCACAGTAGAGAAAATGGTTTGAACTCATGAGATGGATATAATAAATCTAGATTTTGATTGATTGTGTTTTTCCCAGATGTAAGAATCTAAAAGGAAAACAGAAGCCAAAATCTCAGTTCATGGTAAATCCCCAAGATACAAAATCCCTAACATAAGCAATTGCTATACATAAAATTCTGCTAGAAATACCTCCTCGTACTACTATGGTTAAGAAATAAAATCCTCTAGGATCTTTGTTTCCAGAATCTCAAGTTCCCAGCTGAAATTTATGATTGATTTTCCTCCAGAAAAGAGACAGGAAAAATTGAGTACCTTCTGTACTAGTTTCAAGCTAGCACTAACAGTATGATTGCTGTCACTGTTACCTTTTGGCTCCTCATCAGGGGTTAAAAGCTGCTAAAGACCATCTGAGAACCTAAGCACCATTTAAAATACTGTTTCTATTTATTTATTCTATTCAGTTTATAACACTGTTTACACTTATTCACGTCTATTAATTTTTTTTTGCCAAAAAACCCAAACTTAATTCAATTTTAACTTTTTAAAATTGAAGGCTGTCTGCTTGTAGCATTTGGTTAAGAATTATTAGAAGCTTCATGTTACTTTGGAATTACTTTTTCTTTAATTCACATTATGTGTTCATGTATACACAAATGTAAAATCACATGCCCAGGGACTTCCCTGGTGGTCCAGTGGTAAAGAATCCGCCTTCCAATTCAGGGGACTTGGGTTCAATCCCTGGTTGGGGAACTAAGATCCCACATGCTGTGGGGCAACTAAGCCCGTGTGCCACAACTACTGAGCTCACATGCCGCAAACTGCAGAGTCCACGTGCTCTGGAGCCTATGGGCCACAAGTAGAGAGAAGCCCGCATGCCACAAGGAAAGATCCTACACGCCTCAATGAAGACCCTGCGTGCCACAACTAGGGCCTGATGCAGCCAAAAAAATAATAAAGAAAATTAATTAATTAAAATCACATGCCCATATGCAAATGTAATATTCATATGGATTATAAAATGTCAAAAATAAATCTATTTGTGAAACAAATCATTAATTAATACATGCACATGTGATTTGTACATATATATATATATATATATATATATAAATATATAACAGACACACCTTTTTTGGTCTCAAAAGTTTTTGTCCAATGAGCAAAATGGACCAATTCTGAATATCTGAGCAGACTCATGCTTCCCCATTCCTAGTTCCAACTCCAGGAGGAGCTACCTTCAGTTATTCCTGGCTTTACTTCTTTTAGTAATATCTCAACTCCAAAGAATATACTTTTATCACTATTTCCTCATTTATCAACTTCAGAAATTAGCTATTTACTCCCCATTATGAACACTGAGGATTTAGTCACTTCGTTGAAACCCCCAACTCCTCCTAGTTTTTTGTTCTCATGTTATTATTATTTGTTGTTGTTGTTGGTACGCGGGCCTATCACTGTTGTGGCCTCTCCCGTTGCGGAGCACAGGCTCCGGACACGCACGCTCAGCGGCCATGGCTCACGGGCCCAGCCGCTCCACGGCATGTGGGATCTTCCCGGACCAGGGCATGAACCCGTGTCCCCTGCATCGGCAGGCGGACTCTCAACCACTGCGCCACTAGGGAAGACCTCTCATGTTATTTTTAACTTTTCCCTTGGTCACCCTTGTAACTTTAAATAACATGCCTAAACTTGCCGCATCAACCTTCAAAGGAACCTCTTGCTCCCCACTATGTAAAATGAGAATATTACACTTCATCTCCTTTTTCCTCCAGCTCTCTAATCTCTTTTCCTCCAATTTCTGTCTTAAATGGTCAAGTTTAATAACACATCTTTCAATCCCTATAATTAAATCTTCTGTGTTTCTTCCTTAGGATGTGTCTAAAAGTTGAAAATCGACTTACAGAGTGTATGTATGTATGTGCACACATGTAAACATTACTAATTTCAGAGCGAGGATTACATTTCATTTCTAAAGATCACATGACCCTTGCCACTCATAAGAGAATGTGATTGTTTCCAGCATTAAGGTTAAATGGATTCTCTTCTAACATTCCGTAAGTTCTCAAACATCATGCTGCTTTAAATTTGTTTTATTCTTAGATCATGACTTTTTCTAACTTTTCTACCACAAGTTTCTAATAAACTTTTTTTTTCTTATTAAGAGAAGACAAATACACCTCTTTAGAGCTGTCACTAGTACTTCTTACCTCCTTACTCACATTATCTATTGTTTGGAATCTATTCCATTTTTCGGAAAGACATTTTTCTTGGGGTTTCAAGGCCTGATGTGTACCTATTGCCCTGGGATTTCTTTTCTCTGGCTTCCACTGTTTCTGGTGTTACACGTTCTTGTATTCTTTCTTGTTGGAGTACACTCTCAAGGAATTTCCTCAGAAAAAAAGGGCATGGAAGATAAATTATCTTACTCTTCCTTTATCCTTGATTGATAGTTTGTCTTCTAAGCTCGAAATCAATTTTCTCTCAGAGCTCCAATGATTTCCAGAGTTGAGTGTTGTTGGTGAGAAGGCGTATGCCTGTCTGGTATTCATTCTTTTGCTTCCTTTTTTGTTCCTCGTCTTAATGATTTATTACAAAGAACCATGTTTTGTCAACAACCCCAAAGCACTCCCCCCCACTAATCACTATCCTTCCTGCCCCCCAAAGACGATAACTACTTCTGACTTTATTTTTATACTATAATTAAAAAAATATATTTATTTGGCTGTGCTGGGTCTTAGCTGCTGCACGCAGGATCTTCAATCTTCATTGCGGCATGCAGGATCTTTTAGTTGTGGCATGTGGGATCTAGTTCCCTGACCAGGGATCGAACCTGGGCCCCCTCCATTGGGAGCATGGAGTCTTAGCCACTGGACTACCAGGGAAGTCCCCTACTTCTGACTTTTATGATAATCACTTCCTTGCTTTTACATGTATCTTCAAGCCCCTGCATCATTTATTTTTGCCTGGTTTTTGAAACTGTCTATGCCTGACTTCTTTCACTCAACATTATATTTGTGAGGCACATCCGTTGTTGTGTGAAGCTATAACTCATTCTGTGTCATCGCTATAATATTCCTTTGTTATGATTATATGACATAATGTTGATAGATACATTGGTTGTTTTCAGTTTGCAAGCAAAAACCATGGTCATAAACATTCTTGTACATGGTTCTGGGCATGCATTTCTGACGAGTAGATAGCTAAAAGTGGTATTACATATAGTTTATTTTAGTAGATAATGCCAAACTGTTTTCTGAAGTGGTTTGTTCTATCAATTTCTAGGCATTTGATTTTTTTGTAGTATCTTGACCCTGTGTCCTGCAAGAGGGCCAAGTTTAACAAAAGGGAGATCACAACGGAAGGGGTGGGGGGGGCACTAGTCCAATCACGAGAACCCTTTAGAAGCAGAGTTTGTTTGGCTGGTGGGAAGAGGGGAAAGTCAGAAAGATCTGAATCCTGAGAAGGACTAGACATGTTGTTGCCTTTAAGATGGAAGGGGGGTCACGTGAGAAGGAATGTGGGAGCCTCTAGGAGCAGAGTGGCCCCTGGCTGATAGAGAGCAAGGGAATGGAATGGAGACCTCTGACCTACAGCTGCAAGGAACTGGGTTCTGCCAAGAGCCTGAATGCACTTGAAAGCAAATTCTTCCCCAGAGCCTCCAGATAAGAGCCCAGTCCAGTGACACCTTGATTTCAGCCTTGTGAAATGCCAAGCAGAGAACCCAGGAAATCCCACCCAGATTTCTGGCCTACAGAACTATGAAATTATAAATGGTTGTTGTTCTGCTTTAAACCACTAAGTTTATGGTAATTTGTTACGCGGCAATAGAAAACAAATACATCCTCTCTTCCATATTTTTCTACCCTTTTGTCTCCCCAGGCTTCATTCTGGATACTTTTTTCCTCACCTATCTTTCAGATCACAATTCTCTCTTCAGTTATATCTAATATGCTTTTAAACCCACCCATTAACTTCATAATTCAATTACTATGTCTTATAGTTCTATAAGTTCTATTTAGTTGTTTTAAGTTTTCATTTTCCACCAAAACTTTTTCATACTGTCTTTTATCATCCGGAACATAACATCATAACTCTTTGGAAGTCTGGATCCAATAATGCCAATAACCCCTGTGGATCTGTTTCTTTTCTCTGTTGTTTGTGCTGGATTTTGTGAATGTTGTCCAATCTCCTTGTGTGACTAGTTATTTCTGATTACGTCTTGCACCTTGAACTTGCAAAACTGTTTGCTATCTAGAAATAATTTGATATCCAGTATGATCTATCTTCCTCCAGGTAGAATTTACATTTATTTCTGCTGGGTACCTGGGGGCACTAGCAATTTGGGCTCACCTCACTTTGGGTTCAGCAAATGAGATGATGTGAAGTTAAGTGGCAGTTCCTGCAAGGGCTGGTTTCTTTTTGGTTCATCCTTACTTCTAGGATGCAGCCCTTTATTGGACCCAGTTAAAGCAAAGGAAGTTCACTAAGCCCCTTTAGAGGGCCCTGGACTCCAATCCCTGTCTCCTATAGCCCCACAAAGCAGTCCAAAGGACTCTAAGTCTCTCAGCTGCCCACTCCAG